TCCAATGTTATACTAGTTGCAGACGAGAAGAAACTTCCCTATCATACATGTGTCTACCCTTGCCACAAGACTAAGACATGGCAAGGCACCTATTTGGGTGTTGTGTATCCTGAAGCTGATCCTCTTAACGAGGAGCCATGCAAGGAAGATGATGAGAGGATATTACTATCACCTAAGACCAAGAGACCACCTGGTAGACCACAAAAGAGTAGGATTCCTTCCTCTGCCGATTTTCCGGTAAGTACTCTTTTTCCATTGTCTTTGGTTACTACATAATGTTCTTCATAAATGGTTGATATTTATGAATTTTATGAATCTGTCTTATACTAGAAGAAGGAGAAGACTTTCAAAGATTCAAACAATAGGTGTGGACGGTGTCATATTTCTGGCCACAGTCGAAGCACTTGTAAAAGTGAATTTTGAAGAGTATGGTGTTCATTTGCACTCCTACTTCTGCACTTCTATAAGTACCCTTGTTCTATTGATTGTGGTCACTCTGTTCTGGTCAGTCATAACTTTGTTAAATTTATGTTTTTTTTTTACCATAAAAAGAGATGACGGAGAAAGAAGAAACCACAAGCAACTATCAAGTTGGAAGATTATAGATTTGAAATTGTTACTTCTATCTTTACTAAGTTAATTTTGAAATGGATATTGTTTCTTTTAGGGTTCCATGTGTTTAGCCTTTTTCTACTAGTCAAATCCTCTAATAAGTTTTTAGGTTAACTGTATCCACCAAGCAGGAACTTCTATTTTACTGGGTATTTGACTTCCTTTTTGCATTTAGCTTTTTTACTTTGTTTTGCAATAATTTGAAGAACCAACCATGTGGTTAATAGTATATGGCTGTCAAAACATTAGTGACTATGGCGTAATCATTTTATATGTTCACGTGGTCAATAACCATGTTCGACCTAACTTTCTGTATCTCTTCCAACTAATCCTTTTATATGTCTCTGTTGACCAATTAGTGTGCAAGCGGACGTCATGGCGTAATCGTAACCACACATAATGCTTTATGTGAATTCATCTGATGGTTATGAGATGAAACGTACAAAAGTGGGTAAGACCTATGAAAAAGTAGGTCAGCTAGTACAGGCTGTAGACAGTGCTCACAAATTATACTTTTTACGCCTATGATGTGTCGACAAAGAAAACCCAGCCTGTCAAGATTGCTGGATATAGCAGAGTACACAACACGCTTGATACGTGTCACTCTATCCATGGTTACACTTCAGCTTTTCAGTTATCTATCCAACAGTTATTATCCATATCATTCTGCTTTTAACAGCACATCGAGCACTCCAAAGATATATTGATTCGATTTTGACTGTAGCGGGAATTACGAAAGATTTTTTAATTTTTAAAGTTTTTTTAAGACAAACAGAGTTTTTAGCCGAAAACATAACAAATTAAATCTGGACATGTTTGTTTTCCCGCTTGCAGACTATTTTTAAAGTTAGGTCATTGATCATATACTTCTCACCATATGGTCATTAATCGCATGGTTAACAAGCTGAATTATTGCAAAACAGAGTAACATAACAAAAACATCTTTTCAGGCGCCATAGTCACTAATTTTTCCCGCCAAACAATGCAAAGAAAAGATGTGTCAATATCTTTTTCCCGCCTAAATTTTCTTCAATATAATTGTCACTACTTAATTATCCTTTAGATTCCTACAATATACGAATCAAAACATATTACTGCAAATTTCCACAATAAAGTATGGCACCAAATGTTCACAAGAAACTCCCACCAAGTGTTCTTGCCAAAATCGCCAGATTTACTGCCGATAATCGTATCGAGGATTTGAAAAACTTCATCAGAGTTGGTCCAGACCTGAAGAATGTTGCACTATCAAACGAGGCTCTATACCACCTCTGTGTTGAATACCGTCATGATTTCGCATGGTGGTCTGGCACGAATTCATGGTATTACGGTCTTTTCATAAAGCTTGTTGGAGCCAAAAACTCGTACGCTCTTTACATCGAAAGTATAAGGCTCGCATTCAACGTCGGGGAGATTGATGTTGCGCTTTATCTTTTGGATGATGTTAAGGACATCCATCCTCATGCTAAACTAATGTTCATCATGCTCTGTTTCTGTGCCGGCCGTGAATGTTTGAAGGTTTATCTCATGTTCCAGGCACATTTCAAATTCGCTGAGGTGGAGTGGATGGGTAAAGAACTGATGTATCACATTGATGCAGTTAATTCGAGGAAGGCTGACACTTACAGAAAAACATGGAAACTGGATTACTGTCCTGAATGTTGGGATATGCATGCCTGGTTAGGAGAGAACAATGGGGAGCGGTGCAATGACTGTGTCTACTTCTATTTGTCTAGGGACATATGCAGAATGTTGTAGGCTCTAAAATCTACTTATCGTTTTCCACTTTATCAAATTGTCCAATGTCATTAGATCCTTGGAACTTCTTTTTCCAATTGTATTTCTCTATCGGAATCTCATTTACTGTATCCCCACCTTAACCAATAAACATTTATCTACCATCTATAAATCGTTGTCAACTAAACATATGTGTTGCTTACTTAGTAACTAAACATGGGTACCTCAGCCACCATTAGTTCCGGATATGAACATACATCTGTGGTCACAAAAAAAATAATTGCATTTCAGGCAAACTTTTCGTAAAACGGCAACATCCTGGTTTGTGTCTGTCTTCGAACAATTTTAAGAAACAAAGAGACTGTATAAACCTAGATAACAGCACCTCCCCCTCTACATAACTTAACATATGTGTTGCTTACATAGTAACTAAAGATGGGTACCTCAGCCACCATTAYTTRCMGATATGAACATACATCTGTGGTCACAAAAKAAATAATTYCATTTCAMGCAAACTTTTCYTAAAACGGCAGCGTTCTGGTTTGTGTCTGTCTTCGAACAGTTTTAAGATACAAAGAGACTGTATAAACCTAGATAACACCACCTCCCTCTCTAAATCCTCAGCCATTTTTTTCACCAATCGAATTGTAAGTGTTCCAACAGATATTCTCTAGATTCCCAAATCGTTCTGTTTCAAACAATTGAAGTGATTTTTTTGTTTAACTACATTAGGCGATGAGTTACAACTCTTCAGGATCCTCTTCGTATGTCAATTACCACAGGGGGATTCCAAGAAAATGTGCATGCTGTGAGAAAACTGTAACACTTGTATCAACAACTACAAGGAACCCATATCAGAAGTTTTACAGATGTGCCGCGGCAAAACATGTCAGATTTAGATCCATATATTATTTGATCATTTTTTTCAAAGTACTAAACAATAATTGTTTATGGTGAAATTGGTCATGTATTCAAATGGGCTAAAGAGGCAAGATTGGAAGAGTTTGATGTCCTCGCAGAGAATCAAGAAATCTTTGCTAAAGATTTGAAAAGGTTCTTGAGTACTCAGAAAGATTTTAATGACAAAGTAGACAAAATCATCCAGAAGAATAAGATTTTAGAGTCAGAATTAGTGAGCATCAAGTCAACAATCAAGAAATTTGTATTTGGCGTCTCCATTGTTGGAGTTGCATCTGTTCTTTTCTACTGTAATTACTAAGTACTGTTATATTTTGTTTGAAAAATGATGGAGTTGCATCTTTTCTTTCCAGAACTTTTATTTGATCTTTCTTTTCAAAGTACTAAACAATAATTGTATAGGATGACATTGGTCATGATCATATGGACAAACATAATTATAAAGAGGCAAGATTGGAAGAGATTGGAAGACTTTGAAAAATGATGGAGTTGCTTCTTTTCTTTCCAGAACTTTTAGAACATTTGGTCATAATCATATGGACAAATATAATTATAAATTTCAAAATGTAAATAACCTTAAACAGGGAATTAAAAGGACAACGATATCACTAACCATCAACTATGAAATCAAACAATCTTTAAAATAAGATATAATTTACTAAGTAACAACAAGGAATACAAATTTGGTCAAGTGTTTCAAATTATGAATTCAACTGTTTGGTCATATCCATCTTATCAGTAGATATATCACTAAGTCTTTCAAATTATAATTTAATAATCATACGGTCAAGAACGACCAACTACAGAACCTTAAACAGTAAATTGATTCCGTTAAGCCCTACTAAACCCTAATCCCTCTATAAACCAAGACCTCTCAAATTATCAACTGTTTGAAAAATCGA